CAACCCCTGTTGACTTAACTTGGCGTTGCTTGGTACCTATGAGAATGAGGCACCAAACTTTATGCAGCTAGTTATGAAAATTTGCCCGCACTCTCAATGCTGAGTGTTGATATTATGTCTCTTACAAGTAGAGATCAAATGGAATTTGCCATTTATGGGTGAGTTGATATGGTGGACACAGGAATATTTAGCAAGAGTCATTTGGACTGTATCATGACTACTGTTCCTAACTGCAGTTGGAAATTCCCTCCCTGCTCAAGTGGCAGAGCAAATGTTTTTTGGATATGAAGTTCCTAGGATTGAAAAAACAAGGGATTCAGTAAGGAAACATTTCTCACAAGCTAAGAAAGCATTTATAAGATTAATAGAATTGATTTAATTCTGCTGCAAGAGTATTCTTGAACTCTTCCATGGGGACTAGCCGGCATGTTGTTAAGGAGCTTTCAAAGAACTGTTCCATAATTTGCTAGATGGTACACTGTTTTAGGAATTTCTGGATATGTAATACTTTGGCATCTTAGGGCATGTCTACATAGCAGGGCAAAAGTCAAATTAAGCTATGCAGCTTAAGCTACACAATTGACATAGCCCAAGTCGAATAGGTTAATTCAGCTTTGGTGCTGTCTACACAGCAGGAAGTCCAAGGAACAACACTCTTCCTTTGACTTCCATTGCTCCTGATATAATGAAGGTTTCAGGAGTCGGAGTAAAAAATCCTCCAGCTCACCATTATTTTGAAATAATGGTTTGCAGTGTAGACATGCTCTTTGTTCTTGGAATAATGTTGGTTATTCCCAAATAATGCTGCAGCATAGATATAGCCTCATTGAACAAAACTGAAACCAGGATTTATTCCATCCAATTAAAGTTGTTTATCGGAAGATAGGTGTTTTTTTACTGCATCCTCTTCATGGAGTACTACTTCCTTTAGTTTTCCATAGCCAATACACTTAATCATAGTCAAAGATGGCATGGGGACTGAAGGTAGAGCTATAAGAAGTCAACTAGTTAAATTCTCCTTTGTCATAATAACTGGTTTGGGTCCTCCTCAAGTTAAATATATTTAAAGACTAATTACAAGGAGATAATCCTGGAGAGCTTCATTTTACTGTTCATCATAAACTCTCATTCATGAGATTCTTCCTGGTAATCATATCTTACTAACCACCGATTTCATAATTGTTCTGTGGTCAGACTTCCTGTTGAAAGCTGATGGGTATTTATCATGGATGTGATTGCAGCATTGCATGGTTAGTGATTTAACAACTCAATCCCTGTATTATCTAATGTCAAGGTCCTCCTGTGCCGAAACGCTGACAGTTTGTACAGAAGGGGTGGGCAATAATTTTTGACCTGGAGCTGCTTCAGAAATTTTTGAAGTGGCCTCAGGCGGAAGGGGCGGAGCCAGGACACTTCAGTGCTTCCCCACTCAGAGACCCTGATTGGCCTGAGAGTGGGGGAGCATGCAAAGTCTTTGATCCCGCCTCCCCCAGAGAGAACCATCAGCTGTTCTGAACAGCTGGCAGTTCCCTCTAGGCGCTTGTGCCCCTGGCGGTGGGAGGAGACTTTTCGCATTCTCCCACTTGCCCCCAGGTCAGTCAGGGCCTGGGGGAGGTAGAGTAAGGGAAGTCTCTTGCTCTGTGCCCCCACCGTGCAAAGGAGCCCTGTGCTTAGTCATCCACCAGCTGAGCAGCAGCTAGCGGTTGACTTTAAGTGTTGAGCCCCTTGGAGGGTGGGAGGAGACTTTGCGCGCTCCCCCAGGCCACTTGGTGTGTAGTGCTTAGAGTTAACTGCCAGGGTTGACTGTAAGTACTGCACTGCTCCCTTATGCCTCGTGAAATGAGGTTTACAGGAGTGGTCGACAAAGGCTTCCCTTGTCGACCGATCCGCGTCTTGACTCGCGCGCTGTGCCGACAATCAGCTGAGCCAGCACAGCACAGCGGTCATTTTTATTTTAAAGAAGCCGGGGATATTTAAATCCCTGCTTCATTGACTATGTCGGGTAGCCTATTTTACATGCCCCTGTCGGCAGAGGCATGTAGTCTAGACATACCCTAACAGTACAATGGACAGGCTGGCAGTTTGAAGAATAGTGAGGAATAAGTGGGACATTCAATACCCTTCCTCTTTGACTTTGTTACCAGAGCCAAGTAAGGCATTATTATTTCAATAAAATACTTTCATTGATACATAGTAAGATGTTTGACTCTTTATTTACTAAGTTTCATATTTTATTTCTGTGGTAACAGAATATATGAAATTGTAACATGTCTTTCGTGAAACATTGTTTTCTATGATTGCATGTAAGATCCTTTTGCCAAAAATGATTTCCCAAGATTTAGAGAAAACAGGCAAACAGCAGCTAAGGTTAATGAGGATGTCATCCTTCAATAAGTTTGCGTGTGAGTCCCTTCTAGCATTGCATGCCCCATTAAAAGGTATTTGATATGCTTTTTCAGTTTATTCCTTTGTTTGTTTGCAATCTAGTATTCCTAGCCAAAAGTGGATGCTTCCCACTATATTTTTTTCCCCCCAAAATCTCAGAAACCTGTTTCACACATCCCCAGTCTCAACAGCCTTCACTGATATCTGGCCTCATTGCAGTGGTACATGCATTTCACTAGCCTTGTTTATTTCCTCTGACTTTCTTTTTTATCTGGCTTCAGCGTTCCACCACGAATAAGTCTTGAGACTTCCTGACTATTTCTCTGGCTGTCAGAGTTCTCTGGCAATGCTGTTTCCCTCTTCTTTTCTAGCTGGAGGATCACAATGGAAGTAGAATTAAATTCTATGGGTAGCAGCTTCCATAGTCTCAGGGGCCTGTGGCAAGCCTCAAAGTTGAAGAGAGAGATGATCCCATCTTTCCAAGTCAAGATGCATTGCTGCAATGTTGTCATTGATCTTTCAGTGTTGCGGTGTGTGTTTTTCCCCCAATGTCAGTATTTTTATCTGTCTGTGATTTTTCATAGCTTAAAAATTCATTTTTAAATGTACTGTATCAGGTTTTTGTGCAGTTTGCAAGATAAATTCATACTGTAACAAAACAACCACTAAGAACATCGTTCCAAGACTCATCAAGAACAAGATAGAACATTTAAAAATAGTGCACAAGGCTATTTTGCTGATGAGTTAAAAGCATGGCCATGTCTTTCCACATTACACAAATGATTCCCATGAATTTCTGACACTAATAACAAATGACTACTCCATGATGTCCCCAAACATTTACCATGACAAAACTCAGCTCTAATTATGGCATAACAGATGCAAAGTGATACTTTGTCTGCCTTATTTGAGGCATTACTTAACATGAAAATTCCTACTTCTACGAAGAAAAAAAAGTTACCTATAAGTAGCTCTACATAAAAAGAGTTGCAGACCATTGCATATTGAACATATTGTTATGATACAGATGTTCGTTATGTTAGCAGCTGCTTTAATTGCAGCATACTGCATTCATGCTTCATTGGTTCTCTTCCTCTTTCTGAACCTCCTCCTCAACTGAGTAAGCAGTTAAAGTGACTTCTTCCTTTTGTTTCTCTAGCCCTAGCTAATGTCTAGGAAGGAGGGCAAGTTTCTCCGTTCCTTTGTTCAATAGTAAGTGGAACAGTATTTTTGTGAGCATATTCAATGGAAGAAATAAAGAACTTTTTTTTTTACTAGTCCTATATGAATTTACATATGAATGTGTATAGTCCTTTTTTAAAAAAAAGTGGGAATGATTTAGTTTGTAAGATGAACTATTTGCTCACACTGTGGAAACCATCTTAGTATTATTTGGACCTAATCGCAATACTTCCAAATGTAGTTTTCTTAGTCTATTGACGTTACAGCAGTGACTTCGCTACCGTGCACTAATGTGCATGTGTTTCAGGAATGGTGTATGTGTGTTTCTGTAGCGCCTAGTAAGAACATAAGATAGGCCATACTAGGTCAGACCAAAGATCCAGCCAGCTCAGTATCCTGTCTTCCAACAGTGGCCAATACCAGATGCCCCAGAAGGAGGGATCACAAACGGTAATCTTCATGTGATCCCTCCCCTGTCACCCACCTCCAGAGAAACAGAGGCTAGGGACACCATTCCTACCCATCCTGACTAATAGTACAACCATGGAACCTGTTTTGAGTGGGGCCTCTATCCACTACTGTAATTGAAATTAATAATTCTTAATCCATGAATTAGAGAGCTGGGATAGAATACTGGTGTCTCTGCCGGTCTTCTGTCCTAATAGAGACAGAAAACTATTATTAAAGTCTTATGGCACCTGGGAATGGGAGTTTTGCCCATTTATGAATTGGATCAAAAAACATTTATTAATAAATTAGATTGAAATTCTTTGATTAGAATAAATCAGATCACGAGTCTGTGCCCAGCAGGCATATGGGGCAAGAGAAGATTTAGCTTCTAATAGCTTTTTTTCCCTTTTAGTAGAAATAAAAAGTGTGTGTGGAATCACCTATTAAGTATGACTTACATCTTTGTGGGTTTCTTGCCAAGTGGAAAAGAATAATGCTAATGATTCCAGTTTTGGAATAATAAATTCTGTTCTCAGCAACTGTGCTGCAAATCCTGAGTAACTCCATGGAGATTTGTAGATTTGGGTTTACCCCAGAATCTTAAATGCATCCTTCCTTTGCATAGAATGTAAAGGGTTGGGAAGCACTCCGAAGTTGCTACAGCTATCTTACTTGCCTTGTGTCAGCTCTGTGTTGCAGTGCAATCACATATAGGGATTCTTATGCAGCTTTTTCCCCACATCTTATCAAAAAGGCGATTGTATCAAGCACCAACTAGTGACCATGCTGATTCCCGCACCCTGTGCTAGACCCGGGCAGTCTCCGTTCAAGGCTTTCTTCATTGTAAAGCATCCAGACTCTTTTGGTAATTGGTTGAATCAGATTTAACAATGCAGTCAGATAAATAGTTGTGGCAGCTGCTGCCATGGCAACATCATCATGCTCACCCTCCCCGCACGCCCTCTTCCCTCCCACCCCCCCAACACACACACACACACACGCACGCATAGACACCCCTCCTCCTCTCCAGCAAGTGACATACTCACTAATGGTCTGGACAGTCGGGAGGGTTTAATGGCAGAGCTCTTTGCTTTTGAAATTGTGCAATATGATGAATGAAGAAGCAGCCCAGAAAAGCGATGGTGGGGAGAAGTACAACGGCAGTAACCAGAGGAGGAAGAGACCTAAGAAGGTAATGTGAATGGAGACAGCAAAAATGGTGTGAGAGGAAAGAGAGCGAGACTATAGGAGTGGCTTAGGTAATAAGGATGCTGGAGGATCGAGCTTCTTTAGTTGAAGTGCGGAGAGATGTCTGTAGCTTTCCACTTGCTCTGTAGATGAGGGAAAGGCAAGCAGCATTGACTTGTTCATTGATAGCATTTATAGCATTGTAGTTTAATGTAGAGCTCATGGTGGGTAATCTGACTGAGATACTGTGATGTGTACACAGTTAAGGTGTGTGGTGTACGTGAAGCTAAGAGAGGGATTTTGTTGCTGCCACCAATGGATGTCTCCGTAGCTAACCTGGTAAGAGAGAAGATCCTAGGGTGTCTGGCGTGTGTTGAACAGTGAACTAATAATATTGTGTTAATCGATCTGGGCAGTGAAGTGAAAGGCTTTTTTGACAAGCAGCTGCCTATTTTGTTGCTTTAATCTTGACTTCATTAGACAGCAAGTGCCTTTCAGCACTGGATTCAGTATATCCCTTTTCAGATATAGGCAATTAGTTGTGACAGAAGAAATTTTACATAAGGGCATGATTGGACTTCTATTTTATTTTATTTTGAATGACTTGAAATGTATCTGCAATTTAATTTATCTACCTTTAATTTAATTTGACAAGAAAGTTCTGGACCTCTCATGTTGGTTTAAGAAAATAGTTAAATGGAAGAATAATGTCAATTTAAAAAATACAGTTCAGAATTCAGTGTTTTGTATAGATCCCTCTAGCACTTCAGTGGTGAAAACTAATGAGGTAAAACTATACAGCCACACCCAATTTCCAAGGCACTTTCTCTACAGCTAGGCTGTCTCTAGTGATTTGATTTTTTTTTTTACAGCTGCTAGTACCCAACAGTTGATCTCCTCATTAGAAGTAGTGCCCTCTTACAATTAAGATCATTGGTTAAATCAACTAATTGCTTTCGACTGTTTTTGTCTTTCTTTTTATGATAACGTAGATGATCCTGCAAAATGGTAAAATGGCAGATAAGGCACAGACTTACCTCAGCCATCATCCATCCATGTTTTATTTATTAAGGGCTTGACTCTGCCTCTCACTGAGTAACACCTTGTTCTCTAAGTAAATCTGATTGATTTCAATGGAACAAGCCATGTAGTAAGATATTGCTCAAAGTGAAGTAAAATCTAGTCACTAAAAACAAAGCTTGCAGTGAATATTCACTAATGTATTTTCTAGTTTCCTTTTAAAACTTTATACTCTTATGATATTGTGTTCCATAAAAATGAACCACTTCACTTTTAGAAATCTGATTGTATATGGGGAGTATAATGGAGACTAATCAACACAGGAATTTAGAAAATGGGGTTTGTACAATAAAGGAAATTTCTTTATAGATAATAGATATGATATGTACCTTTTTATCTCACAAAGAAGCCTGTGTTTGAATAACTACACAGTATATGACATTATCTAGCCAAAGCAAGAAAACTGAGGGAAGGCAGAAACATCCTCACTCCACTGGGCCTGGAATATTGCCTCAGTCTCCACACAGTGGGGAATTTTATACAGCACATTGGGTTTTAAAATTAAGATGAGGCATTTCTGCCTTGTTTTACCTCTTAAGTTTTAGGACCAAATTTCAAAGGACCTTTACCTTGGTGTTTGTAAAACTCATTTGTGTGTGTGGCTGGGCATATACATAAGTAAACCAGGTAATCAGGTGCTATTGTATTGTAATGAGAGGAACTGAAAACAGTCTTGCATTTGTAGGAAGATGGGCTAGAAGATCTAATAAAATAGTTAGGTCTTTTCCATCTCTGATTTTTGACTTACACATCCTTTAGGTTGTTTTTAAATGTGTGCGTCTGACACTTGTGTGATGTCTGAATGCATCGCAACGTGTATGTATTTTTAAAAAAAAAGTCCAGAGTCTCCCATGGGCTATTATATCTACATCTTTCAGAAATATAATTAGGTTTCCCTTTAATATAATCTTTTGATAATTTTTAAAAAATAATTTGAGCTATTTCAGTTGAAGTACAAAAAAATAATCTCTAAGTGTCATGGTCTTAGTAATTTACTCAGCACATATTATAACTGTGCTTGCGTGCATTAGATGTTGAGGCTTGAAGCATACAAAAGGACTTGCCTGCATGGTGGAACTTTGCTTCCTAAGTTTCTAGAGTGATTTTTTTTTAAATTACACATTCAGTGTGGCTAAACAGATTTTTTGATGGTTTCCTCTGGAAGAAAATGTGAATGCTAAGAATTAGCTGAAAGTAAAAACTTACATCAGAGAGAGAAGATACATTAGAACAATGGTGGAGGAGCAGCACGAACAGGTTAGCTGCTACATTCAGCACAGTGGAATAATTCTTAAAGTAAAGCCAGCCCTTTTGGACTGACATACTGTATCTCATATGTGGAGCACAATCTGATGTCTTTGGCCCTGTGCACCTGCTGCAACACCCAAGCTGTGTGTTGCCATAGTGCTAATTCCTGTAATCACCCTGGTAGCTCCTGGTGCATCATCCTGTTGCATGGTGAACACTTTCCAGGAGGTCTAAAAACACTTGCTGAGTTTTATGATTCTATTAAATTAATTTCTTAATATAGTACGTTATTGTCATGAGAAATGTGTTTTTTTTATTGTAGCACATTTGTTGACATTTGTGGTCCTCTTGATGCCCATGCATCGAGAGGACCACAAATGTCAACAAATGTGCTACAATAAAAAAAACAAGTTAACTTGTTCCTGATTCCAGTAATGCAATCACAGATGGCAAGAGGATTTCTAAAATCCACAGATTTTTATTACACTAGTGATCATAAAACATACCAGCGTGTGTCATTGATGGATGCAGAAATGGTCGTTCTCGTAATAATAAAGATGTCCAGTCTGAACAGTTGCATTACTTGTTTGTCAAGATCGATTTTACTTTGGGGATTGCCTCTCACTATCTGCTTGTAGTGTCAGGCACCATGCAACCATGGCCTCAGCTAAGGCATCTAGGCCCCACCATAGAATAAATAAGAGGAAAAAGTGTAACTATTGGAGTTTGGTGTGGTGTAGGGTGGGAACAGTCACTTTGCAGATTAGCCTTGTACTTAAAAGGACAAATCAATAGAGATGACATAGAGCCTGGTGTTAGCACTGGAGACTTGCATGAAAGGATCTGCGAGTTCTTAGAGAACGTTTTTTCCCCCAGTTTGTTACATCAAAAAATTGATTATATAATGTATTTGAAGCTAGCCTAGTGTGATTAGTATGTTTATTTTTCTAAACCTCAATCTTTCACCTATTTTAAGCTTAGCCAGTAGTTTCACATTTGCCCTTTTTCATTTTAAATATCTTCTGCGTCTCTCCTGTGGGTCTGTGCTTGTAAATATTGTAGCCTGACTCGCAGAGGTTGAATGACACTTACAGGCTGTTCAGCTTTAATGACTATAAATGTGGCTATTTAAACACTTATTAGTATTAGTTTAGCAGATTACTACATTTTTTCCTCTGCCAAATTCAGAGGAATATTCTGTATCTATTGATCTTTATATTTGTAGAAAACAAGCTAATGAGTTGTCATTAATATTTATTAGGCATAGCTGTTGTGATTGCCACCAGAAGTAAATTTTTAACCAGTGGTCAGTCTTCCTGTAAAATCAACATGGAGATTTCCAAAATAATAGTTCCCATCTGCTGCATTTTGTTTGTTCTATGTTTCCCACTTTTATTTTCCTTTAGCTCTGCCCCATCCAGGCTTCATCAGTTAACTCTATCTCTCAATCTCTGCTACTATTCCTGCAAATGGACACCGTCAACACTACTCTTTGTGTCAATAGATAGGCTCTTACCTGAGTAGTACAACCCTACTACCTCTCCTTCCCCCACATCCTACGAGAGAATAACCTCTGCAAATTTCAGTTGAATGCAGAATTTTACCACAGATATCTACTGCAGTGTTTTAAAGGGCAGAAGGAGCTAGTGAAGAACAGTTATGCTAATAAATCATTTCTTTTTCTCATCCACATTAGAGTCACTAAAGTAGTTTGTAATAAAACTAACCAAATTTAGCAATTCTAATTTGAAGCCAAATCAACAATCTTCTTGCGTATTGATGAGCAGTTCAGCTAACAAAAGTACATTCTTAAACTCAGTGGGTCAAATTATTCTCTCATACCACTTTGCAAACCTGTACTTCCATTGACGTCAGTGGAGTTATTCCCAATTTTCATAGGTGTAACTAAGGAGAGAATTGGGTCCAGTCTTAACAGTGGTGTTACTGAGATCAGAATCTGGCCCCCATCTTATGTTACCCGACAAGCTTTATTGTTGGTTCTTGGTGTAAAAATAAACTACATGGTCAAAATTTCCTTTGTCACTTTTTTTTTTTCTGTTTGTTTTTTGTTCTTCAGGTTTAATTGCTGTTGGTAGCAGATAGAAACTGGCCAATGGTTCTGTGTTGGGAGTGGGGCAGTGTGTGAAGCCTCTTCTCCCTGTCATCCCCCGCCCCCTGCACCTGAGGCAGTGCTCAAAGATGCCTTTGACTCCCGCAGCTGACCACTCTGAGTGGTGTGTAGAGGCAGGGCCTCCTCAAAGCTCTTGCTGGGCTGCGGGTCATATCTGGTGGGCTGAAGCTGGCCCACAGGCTGCATTTTGCCCACTCCTGCTTTAATCCATACTCCAGGGTTAGTTCTTCCTTTCGCTCATGAAGAGTTGCAGCCTATAATTGTAATAATATACCTTTTTGAGTACAGATTTTACTACATGAGAACAGTTTTTTAAATTCAGCAAGTCAATCACCAAAAAGCCTAGAATCATATCTGTACAAAAGAATACTAATTTACTACATTGTTCTGGCCTTCTCTTACACTTGCATAGAGGCCCTTTGATGGGCGGGGGAGGGAGGAGGCAAGGGGGCAGTTGCCCCGGAGCTTGGCAATTCATGAAGCACTGAGCCGCTCCCCACCTTATTTGTGCAGGCTTTTGGCACCCCCGCTTGCAGAAAAGCACA